TTGGTGGCACTGATGGGCACTGATGGGTGGCACTGCTGGGCAGCACTGATGGGTGGCACGGATGGGCACAGGTGGGTGGCACTACTAGGTACTGATGGGCACAGGTGGATGGCACTGCTGGAAACTGATGAGCACAGGTGGGTGGCACTGATAGGGGCTTGTGGGCGGCACTGCCAGGCACAGGTGGGTGGCACTGCTGGACACTGATCATCAGGGCACTGATCATCAGTGCCCTGATGATCGGTGTCAATCAGTCCTCTGACAATTGCCAGTTATCGGCAGCACTTTCCTCACGCTGGTGACAGCATGTGGTAAAAAGCCGCTGTGATCGGCCTTTTACCACATCACGTGATCAGCTGTGTCCGTAGGACACAGCGATAAACGGAGATCGCCGGGTGTGCACCCCTGGGGTCGTGCGGGAGGATGCATTCTGGGAGGACATCATATGATGCCCTCTCAGAACTGGTCGGGCTGCGGTGAAACCATCATTCAGCTATCTGCGGTTGGCAAGTGGTTAAAGGATAAGTTCACCTTTTGGACAAAAATAATAAATGCACATTTTTTTGTAGGTAAAAAAATGTGCATTTATTATTTTTGTCCAAAGGAGCCTAGAAAGCATTGCACCAGTGATCAGTATATCGTTGATGCCATGCAGGTCTCCTGCAGACCTGTCAGAATATCTGCTTGCCGTATGGGATGTACAGTCAAGCAGATATACTTACGGGAAGCTTCAATGAACTACCATGGAGCTCCACAACACTGTGGTAGTTCACTGAAAACTACAAGCCGACAGAACTCTATGAATGAGTGACGCAGCCACGTGAGCAGAGGCCCGCACAGCCGCACTGTTTTCAAAGGGGAGAGCAGCAGGCGTGGCTGCGACTATGGGAACATGTAACATGTTCCACCCTAAAAATGGGTGAAACGTAACATGTTCCAAAGGTGAACTTAACCTTTAAGCACAAGATACTCCATATTGTTTGCAATGTCCTTCTTGCACACAGATTGAATTCTCCTAGAACATTCTCTCTCTTACTCCCTCCCTTCTCAAGGTTTTAGTTTGACAGCTGTTAGCGATAGCTGACGATATATGAAATCTGACATTATTCTATTTGTTTTTTTTATAATAACACTTCACACCACCCCTTTTCTTATTGTCTGTATATGAGTGGGGTGCAGTATGGTGCTCTGATGGCAGAGATTACACAGAGGCCCAGTAATATGAAATGTATATTGTAAAGGTACCAAGAAGGTACCACCAGACCCAGATGGTGCGCACAGCCACCCAGAGTAACTTACGAGATGCACAGCAGCATTCTTTTAACTTATTTAAATATATTTATCAATAACCACCAAGGATATAAATTCACTTTGTTTGAACCAAATGCTTTTTCAGACATAGAGATCTTGTAAAAGTAGCAGTGACATGACCACAGGGCTGCTGTAAGAAACCATGGGGCCCCATATAGCAACCTGACAGCCCTCCCCCCAAATAAAAAACACAGTTTACTATGCTTCAGTTATGAATGAACACAGTGAGTGATTGGAACCTATCACTCATTGTGTTCATTCACAAAAGGAAGGAGCTAGTAAATGTGACATACTTACAGGACCCTTCTCCCACTCTCCATCCTGAAGGATCTTATTATGTACTTGCAGCTGCTGATAGGAAGCAGAGGAGGGAGGCAGTGGCACTGTGGGGTGGGGGTACACAGAGGGGGCCTGGACAGCAGGGGGAAATGTATGGTGAACAGGGATGGTCATGGGTGCAGCGGGGGGCAATTACTGGAACCGATCCCCAGTATGGCTTTCTCTACAGCAGGGGATCGGTTCCAGTAATTGCCCCCCACAATGAGCTGATCACCCTCCCTGTCCACATCCAATTCACCTAGCTGCCTGGGCACCCTTGCTGGCCTGGGCCTCATACAGGAGGACTGGTGGTACCCCCTTATCCACGGCCCTGCAAGACCACTGTGCTGCACATACCCTGTGCTGGCAGCAGTGATGTGGGGGGATCCCAGAGGATAGGATGATTGCAGAAAACTACATTGGGGCAGATGTAAGACCAGTCACCCTGCTCAAGAACAAAGAGTAGCAGTGACTGGTCTTTACCAAAAGGAAGCTCGTGCACAAATGCAAAGTTTCACACTGAATTACTGCTGATCAGATCTGGAAGAAATAAACTAAGCATGCCAAAATGTAAGTACAATACTCATGTCTATTGTTTTTAGACAATATTTGCTTATTCCAGGATAAATCAAAGCCTAAAGCAAAGTTATTGTCTCATTGCATTTCTCCAGAGGGGCAAATTCTAAAGATAAATGGTTTTGAGGTGAAGAAGGTACAGTACATATATTCATGCAAATGGAGTCTGTACCAAAGGCTCTACACCATATTTCAAAGCAGCCTTTTCCTCAGTATCAGTGATAAATATACAGAAGGTGTTTTTATATATGTGACCAGAGAGGCAATTATTTTCTCCAGCTTGGCTCTCAAAGATCCAAATGATCAAGGTGGTAATGAAGACTGTATGGAAATGTGCTTGAGTACCTCCAGCGGCATCCAGCATCTGAGTAATTTTGGCCTGTCATAGATTTTGACAGGCGGCTGGCAGTATGGCTAAATGCTGCACCTGTGCCTATCTCTGCACTCTGGAATAATCAATATATCCACACGTGTATCACTCACTACTACAGCTGCAGTCCCATCACCTACTGGACTGGAACCTACTGCATCGAAATGACTGCCTACCAGGTACCCACTCCCCTCTCTTACCAAAAAGTGCCAAATGTGGCAGTGGAGGGGGGTGGAGTTCTACTTTAATGTGTTGCTAAACCCACAACAGTAAAATTAGTCTGTGTATGCAGTAAAGCATGCTTGTTATACTCACTATGGAACCTAAGGGGTTAATCCTCTGCATTGTGTAAAAAAGATGTTTGATCCTGTCTTCTCCAATCCTCCCCTTCTTCTACTGTCCCCAATTCATCTGCTGATAGAACAGAGCCTTGGGGGGAAAGCTGCACATGCTCCGTTTGGTGTATATTGCTAGAGAGTTTTATTTTTCTTGGGAGAATGCATGTGCTCCTAGATTGTAAGCTCGAAAGAGTAGGGCCCTCTAACCCCTCGTGTGCTGTTTGTAGTTGCTGTACTGTTTCATGTATTGTCACCCCCCCCCCCTCTATTGTACAGCGCTGAGCAAATCCTTTGGCACTATATAAACTCGATGTAACGTAATAAAAAATAATGATCAGCACGGGGTAATCAGAGCTGTCCAGATAGAGGGTCAGGGGTTATGCAGCTTCATAGGACAATCAGGGGAGAATGAAAACTCCTCCTACAGGCTTTAACCAGTGCTCTGCTGAACACTGATAGAAGTCACAAGACTGCTCTAACTGCTGATGAGAAAAGGTATTTAGCAGTTTATATTTACTAAAATAATTGAATTTTCATGTTGTGCGTACTGCGGGTGACCAGATATAGTGAATGCAGGGTCCTGGGTTTAGTAACACTTTAAGTGTGCAATGGTTAGGAAAGAGAAAAAGCATTCTTTTAGTATAATGGGTTTATTATAAAAAACAAAAAAAACAAGGTAAAACAGCAAGGCACACTCACTTGACATAAGTGCATCCAGCATTATCAGATAATTATATGTGAAAACAGAGCTTTAGTAAGCAAATAGCAAACCACAGCTACAATCCCGATCCCCAGTGTTCCACTTAGTATCAGGCTGTACAAATGTGTCTGAGGGTGCCATCTGACATGTTTCATTGAAGACACATTAGGCCGGCCCTTGTAACACGTGGCTACAAGCCTGATACTGAGGGCATTGGAGATAGGGATCATAGCTGTGATTTATTACTAAATTACTGAAGCTCTGTATACACATTCAATTATCTGACAGCTTATCAGGCTAAGAACATTTTCAGCAAGCACAGAAAATGCATGTTGAGGTGTTGATCTTGCCAGAAATGCAGTGTCTTTGCTGAAAAGAAAGCACAAACATCCTCATCTGTCTTGTGTAAACCACTAGTCTTATCAATTCATCATGTAATGGAGATAAACAAAGGCTGACATTTTTTAAGTCAAATCTGTGACAATCATGGTTTCCTCCATCGATACAGCGGATAAAAGAGTGTAGCCATGAAGGGACAGGAAGTGTTTTGTTCACTGGATTACCAGGTGAAAAATGAATGGGAAAAAAATGGAGAAATGAATGCATCTACCACATCTAAGGAATGGTAAGCTTCAATATAATAATGTTTGCTTTTTGGATTTTGATACACTTTAGGACTACAAGCATTTTAAAATATTTTTTTTCTTTTGTGACATAAGCCATGGGAGTATCTTTGGGATATGTACAAGCTCTCCACTTGTTGTTGTTGCTACATGCCTTCCCACATGGAAGAAAAATATATTTTAAATATATTTTAAAAATATTCTTCCCAAATATATTGACATATATTTGAAATACTACAATTTTTGGCCGTATTCATATATATATATATATATACATACTGCACAGAGGCTGACTGACAATTCATGGGGTCCCTGTGTCCTCTCCCACATTCAAACCACACCCAGAAAAGCCTATGAAAGGTACCAGGGGCATCTCATGAGGCCCCCTACTGACCCCGGGCCCTCAGGCAGTGCCCAAATGGTCAGTACACCCTGATACTGCATGTTGCCAGAATAATGGAAAAATATTTTTAAAAATTATTTTTTAAAAATGATTCTTCAGATTTTTTTTTTAAATATAAATAGTTTTGAAAGATATTGAAATGCATTCCAAAAATTGATTAAAGTATTTTTTTCAGTATATTTGAAAATATATGTTTAATATATTTTGGGTATATATATATATATTTATTGAAATATATTTTGAAAGATATTGAATTGGCCAAAATTGTAGTATTTCAAATATGTGTCAATATTATATTTGGGAAGAATATTTTTCAAATATATTTAAAACATATTTTTCTTACATGTGGGTTCTTATGCCTTTAGAACATATAGCACCTCCAAAGGGTGTAGTGTAACTCCGTCTCGAGGTGTTGCAGATGCTGTAGGAATCCACGGTTAGGAGCAATACAGCGATATTGAGAAATATGGCGAATAGCATCTGCCAGAGTAAAGCGCTGGTAAATCATCAGGTAGGCAAGGACCATTGTAGCTGAACGGCTTTTACCCAGAACGCAGTGCACAAGGACTTTTCCTACAAAGAAAGGTTCAAACAATTAAATTCAGTTTTGTCACACAGCAAGAACAGATTTACCAAAACATGTCATAAATCCCCCCTCTAAAACTACGTTATAAAATTATACTTGGCCCTGGCCACTTCTTAAGTACATCTGTCATACTGTACATGTGTTAGGCTAGCCAAAAGACAGATGCCTTTAGCTGACTCAATTACCATCCAGGGTTTGCCTCGAAGTATCCATATATAATGGGTTTGTAAATCCTCATCTAGAATACCAAACAGGCAAATCTCTGGGGTGAAAGACAGGGGCAACGGAGATCAAACTTTTCAGAGTACAGGGCATGAACATAGCAAATGTACAAAGTCTGCTTAAGGCTGGTGACAGCCCAGACAATGAGTTTGGAAATAGGTACACAACTGATTGTAACATAGGCATCAGACAAAGTCAACATCCCTCTGGCCCTCCAAGTTGCAGTGCCCGGTACATAGGTTAGCTGGGAGAGCAATACATTATCAGGAAGATGCAATTTCAGGGTGCTCTTTTCTAACTTCCTAACTTTTGATGAGATTGACTTGGCTAGTCTAAGTAATGGAAGTTAAGTCTTGGACACAAGCAAATTAGGGATTTCTAAACATAATAGCAGCTGCTCAGTCTGAGGGATATGAGATAAAAGGGCATCTTCTCTTGTGTGGTAGAGATACTGGGAGAGAACCAAGCGTTCCAATTGCCCAGCCAGGTAATATAGAAGAATATTGGGCAAAGCCATACCTTCCTCTTTTTGAAGTATTTGCAGAGCAGTTAACTGCAATTTACGCCTAGAGCTAGACCAAATAAATGAAGAGAATAATTAATTTAATTCTGAATTTATGGTCTACCGTTAGCATATGGGGTAGAACAGATAATCACTTGGGAAGAAGTATAATTTTAATAATATTGATTCTATCAACTAGTAAAAGAGGCAGTTTAACTCAAATTGCAAATTTACATTTAATAACCTGGGGCAACATGGTAACATTGGTGTCTGGGGCCTATTCAGGATCTATTAGAATGATTTTTCCCTTTTATGTAAAACAGGACACCATGTATAGTGGATAGGTAGGAAAGATAAGAGGGGAAGCACCTGTGTTTCAAGGCATAACCAATAACTTTTGCCAATTAATCCTGAGGTCTGTATACACTCTCTGGCCACTTTATTAGGTACACCTTGCTAGTACTGGGTTTGACCCCCTTTTGCCTTCAGAACTGCCTTAATTCTTTGTGGCATAGATTCAACAAGGTGTTGGAAGCATTCCTCAGAGATTTCGGTCTATATTGACATCACGCAGTTGCTGCAGATTTGTCGGCTTCACATCTATAAACCGTTGATACAAGGCAGGATGGATCCATGCTTTCATATGGTTTACTCCAAATTCTGACCTTACCATTTGAATGTCGTAGCTGAAATCAAAACTCATCAGACCAGGTAACGTTTTTCCAATCTTCCACTGTCCAATTTTGGTGATCCTGTGCGAATTGTAGCCTCTGTTTCCTGTTCTTAGCTGACAGGAGTGGCACCCAGTGTGGTCCTCTGCTGCTATAGCCCATCTGCTTCAAGGTTCAACATGTTGTGTATTCAGTAATGGTATTCTGCATACCTTAGTTGTAACAAGTGGCTATTCGAGTTACTGTTGTCTTTATATCATCTCGAACAAGTCTGCCCATTCTCCTCTGACCTCTGACATCAGCAAAGCATTTTCAGCTACACAACTGCTGCTCACTGGATATTTTCTCTTTTTTGGACCATTCTCTGTAAACCCTAGATGTGGTTGTGCATGAAAATTCCAGTAGATCAGCAGTTTTTGAAATACTCAGACCAACCCGTCTGGCACCAACAACTACGCAATGTTCAAGGTCACTTATATCCCCTTTCTTCCCCATTCTGATGCTCGGTTTTAACTTCAGCAAGTCCTCTTCACCACATTTAGAAGCCTAAATGCATCAAGTTTCTGCCATGTGATTGGCTGATTAGCAATTTGTGTTACCAAGCAATTGATCAAGTGTACCTAATAAAGTGGCCGGTGAGTGCAGTTTGTATTGCAGTGGGAAGAGCATTTTCAGCATTTCCCACATGCAGTATGAGTCCATCTGCATATAAGCGTGGTCTGTTCTATTCCCTAGTTAAACAGCATATATTTAGTATATTTTATGTAGTTTATTTATTGGAAATGTAACTGCATGACTTGGTGTATTTTATATAAATGCCTTGATGGCAACTTTAAATAAATAGAGGAATTAAAGTGGAAATACAAATATATGGTTGAAACCCACATTTGTTTACTGTTTAATCTGCAAAGGATTAGAAATGTTGTCCAGCTGTTCTTGTAATGCACACAACTCTAGCAGTCAGTAATAGTAAAAAGGTCTGGTCCGAGCATGTAAGCCCTTTACAAAATAATCTAGAATGGGTGACTGGGGACAAAGAGAAGGAAAATTTATTAAATACCTTCTTCAGCTCTGTGTATACAAAGAAGCATGGGGGAGCTCTTGTCCATAATGGGCATGATATTGACACAGATGAGTGAACTGTTGGCGCTATATAAATACTGTATAATAAAAAGATGATCCACCTTGGCTCACAACTGATATGATCCAGAAATATTTAGACAGAATAAAGGTGAATAAAGCACCTGGACTGGATGGCATACACCCATGGGTCCTTAAAGAATTGAGCTCTGTCATCTCAAAGCCATTGTTTTTAATTTTTAGGGACTCTTTAATGACTGGCATAGTACCACTGGATTGGCATAAGGCCAATGTGGTGTCAATATTTAAAAAGGGATCAAAATCTTTACCAAGTAATTATAAATCTGTTAGTTTAACTTCTATAGTTGGGAAGATACTGGAGAGTTTAATAAAAGACCACATAGATGAGTTCTTGCTGAAAAAAAAGATATTTTAAGCAACAGACAGCATGGATTCATGAAAGACAGAAGTTTTCAAACAAATCTGATTTCTTTTTATGAGGAGGTGAGCAAAACCTTGGACAGAGGGGTGGCCGTGGACGTGGTATACTTGGGTTTTTCAAAAGTGTTTAACACACAGTTCCCCACACACAGCTAATGTGTAAGGTAAAGTCTACAGGATTGGAAAAAATCTGTATGTAAATGGATAGAAAACTGGCTCAAAGATCGTATTCAGAGATTAGTGGTTAATAATTCATACTCTGAATGGTCTAGGGTTGTTAGTGATGTATATATTAGAAAATGCCACAATATGGGTGGATAACCCTATATAATTACTCTCTGACTCATTAAACAATAAAGATGTGGTTTAACACCGAAAAACTTAAGCATACAAAAAAATAAACTGCCCTATAGAAAGGCTGTGAAGTAACGGTTTAAAATAAACCCAAGCAAAGTAGTTAGTGGTACAAAAAGTACTTTAATATGAATCTCGCATAAAAAGTGAAATCTTGCAAGGTGAAAAATTCACATCCCAATTGTGAAAACTTGAATAATCCAGATTGTGATGGCCTAAAGCTAGTATAATTACCACTCATCATGGATACGCTCCATAAATTAAACAATATCCATTACCCACAAAAGTGGTAAATACCACATTACTTTGTTCTGACGTAATGACGTTATTGCACCCAGAAGCGATGTCCTTAGGCGTTCTCACACCATGTGAGTTTACCACACTGAAAGTAAAGCCGCTCACTTGTGACTTCACATGGCTTCACAACTTACATCCCTCTGCATCATAACCATAGGGACTCTTCCTAGACCCCTCTAAGCCTTCCACGGGGACTGGATCAGCAACCAACGACATATAAGGATATACTTGAGCTCTCCTGCTCCCACCGCCAAGTTCTGCAGTGTTGGATACACCATTGGTGAGTGACGCCATTACGATTTCGCAACGTACATTCCTTTCTGGAGTTTCTTCCATACCTTTATAATGCTGATACATCTATATCCCCGTGTCATTTGAAGCATACATCTCCTATGGACTGCACTTCAGTGGGAACCACAGGGTTCATCCCTGCAACATTTGACTTTTAACATATGAGTTATGCCATTTTTCACGTTCTTTGCATGCTGACACATTTATATCTCTGTGTCATTTGAAGTTTATACCCATTAAGATTTGCATATCAGCGGGAACGTACGGGGTCCATCCCTGCAACATTTGATTTTCAACACCTGTTTGATACATCATCATTACAGCTGATCTTTATTATCTCACTTCACATATGCTGGACTGTTTGAATTGCTTTTCTGTGTACTTAAAATTTGCCCACCATAAAATGCTCCCGTTCTGGGATGATTGTTATTGTCTCATTCAATGTTACGCTTTATTTCCAACCAGGTCATGCTATGACAAATATGACTTACTGCCAGTTCAATTTCAGCTAAAATATGTGATAAGGCTATCTTCACTGTTAAATGGTCAGTTTTCTGCTATTCCTTTTGATTGTTAACGGTGCTATATTCCATCATCTTTTTGACATGTTGCGATATGCATATAGGAATTTGGGCCTGCATGATTACTCTGTTCCTCTGGGGTTAATATGATCCCATTTCACTCCTATGGGTGATTGGAACTCTCATCATCATGATCCTCAATTGTTATGCCATCTAGCATAGTCATAGTATTTGACAATGATATATCGCAATTCATCTACTAAGTAATGTGGTATTTACCACTTTTGTGGATAATGGATATTGTTTAATTTATGTAGCGTATCCATGACGATTGGTAATTATACTAGCCTTAGACCATCGCAATCTGGATTGCTCAAGTTTTTTACAAATGTGATGTGTATTTTTCACCTTGCAAGGTTTCACTTTTTATGCAAGATTCATATTAAAGTAATTTTTGTACCACTAACTACTCTGCTTGGGTTTATTTTAAACCGTTACTTCACAGCCTTTCTATTGCCTTTCTATTGTTAATGGTGTACCCCAAGGTTCAGTGTTGGGACCCTTACTTTTTAATATATTTATAAACGATATAGGGTCTGGGATTAAAAATCCCATTTCAGTCTTTGCAAATGTGAGATGGGGAAACAGCTCTCATTGTTTGAACACTGTTTGTGTGGAGCAATTAAATGGTTTGACTGACATTCTGTGGTTTAGCCACAAGATGTCACTGTTTTTCTAACAGCCTCAGACTGCATAGATATTTCTATATTCTTGAAGAGGTGGGGTTTTCACACAGAGTTTAGATAGAACAGGAAGGAGAGAGGGAAGCCATATTTTGGAGCATGGTGAATAAGGGGCCCTGTGAGCTGAGAATCTGATGACATCCAGGTGTGAAAGCATCCCTCAGTAACCAGAGCTGCAGCTAAGTAAAGCTGATTGTGTCCAAGACCCTGATCCTGTTCAGAGAAAGGAAGATTGCTGCCAGGAATGCTGATGAGAGCAGAGGAACTAAGCAGCATATACTGCAATACTGCATGCTTGTTGGAGAGACATTTGTTCTGTTCAGAATCACCAGCGGATGCAAAGAAGACCCGGGTCAGATTGTAAGCTGATGTGCTGCACCACAGTCTAGCCCATACCATACACCCATCACTGATTCTTGCTCTTTTAGGGTAATAACAGGTAAGGTGTGGCAGCTTAGTTGTGCCCGCCAGTAGGTAAATTACTTCACTTTCTACCTTCATCCATCAGAAGGTGCCGTGCTGTGCAGTACAAGGGTCTCAGCCTTTGCGCTGGGTGTATGTAAATTTATTGTATGTTTCCAGCATTTGTGGTTGTGTTTATTTGCCACATCTAAGTAAACTTCTGTTCTGGCAAAAGCTGGTGTTGAGGTTGTTTTCCTCGTTCGTGACTTCACTGTATTCTGGGGAGCACACCCCGGTACACGGCTTACACAGATGACACCAAGCTGTGCAGTGGAATAATGTCCTTACAGGATGTCTTCAATGTACAAGCCAACCTCAATGCTCTGTTTAATTGGGCAACTATGTGGCAAATGAGCTTTAATGTTGATAAATGCATAGTGATGTACTTGGGGGCTTAGAATATGCATACATCATACATACTAGGGGGAGTACAACTGGGGGAATCAAAGGTGGAGAAGGATCTGTTAGTTCTGATAGATCACAAGCTTAATAATGGCATGCAAAGCCAAGCTGCGGTTTCTAAAGCGAGCAAAATCCTCTCTTGTATTAAAAGAGCTATAGACTCCAGAGAGAGAGAGATATCATTTTACTCCGGTACAAATCATTAGTAAGACCTCATCTGGAATATGCAGTTAAGATTTGGGCACCAATTCACAAAAAGAACATTGGGGAACTGGAGAAAGTACAGAGAACGGCAACCAAACTGATACGATTCATGGAGGAGCTCAGCTATGAGGAAAGATTAAAGGAACTGAATTTATTCTCTCTTGAGAAGAGGAAGTTAAGGGGGGATATGATCAACATGTATAACTACATCAGTGGTTCATATAGTGAGCTCGGTGTAGTTATTCACCCTGAGGTCATCACAGAGGACAAGGGGGCACTCTTTACATCTAAAGGAAAAGAGATTTAATCTCCAAACACGGAAATGTTTCTTCACAGTAAGCTGCGAAAATGTGGGATAGACTCCCTCAAGAGTTGGTTCTGGCCAGCTCAGTAGATTGCTTTAACCACCTCCCATCCGGCCGTTGTATATAAACAGCCGGACGGTGGCAGTGCTGGGTCGGCTGGCTGTTTATAAATGGCCTCCCCTCCCCCTGCTTGTGCGAGCTCCCTGGGACACAGTGGGAACACCAATCGTTGTACGGGACCTCTGTACGAGGTCCCAATCATGTGATCACCGATTGGCCAATCAGTGATCACATGCAGAGTAGCAAGCAAGATGTCACTTTTGACATCATTGCTTCCTATGTGTGAAATCTGTGAATGATCACAGAGGTCACATTTTACAAGGCTATCCACAACAGCCTTGTACCATGTGACAAGCTGTGACCAATCACAGCTCACACAGTAGTTCTCAATGGCTGCAAGAATGCAGCCAGAGAGAAGGAGAAATGATTGCTTTTATAGCCTTTATGGGTGTAAAAGCAATCAGTGTAAAAAAAAAAAAAAAAATCTTCATCACACGCCACAAGTAGTACAGTGCTCCTGCATGCATGGTGACACTACTGCTAGGGTGACAGTATGTAAAAAAAAAAACAATAATATAAAAAAATGTAAAAAAAAATGTTTAAAAATTATAATTTTTGGTTATAAACTAATTTGGGTTATTTTTTTTACTAAAAAGATAACAGAATAAATTTAGATTTATGATGAAAATTATTATTATTTATTTACAAAATTTTATAGAAAAAAACACTTTTTTTCAAAATGTTTGGACTTTTTCATTTACATAGGAAAAAAAATAAAAATCCTAGTGGTGAATAAATACCACCAAAATAAAGCTTTATCTGTCTCACAAAAATGCTAAAAAATTCATATGGGTACAGTGTTGCATGACCGTGCAATTGTTATTCAAAGTGTGATAGCACTGAAAGCTGAAAATTGGCCTGGACAGGAAGGGGGTGCAAGTGTCCGGACATGAAGTGGTTAAAAAAGTCCTGGATTCTTTCTTGGATACACAGAATATAACTGGATACTAACATTTACAGTATAGGTAAAGTTGACCCAGGGAATATCCGATTGCCTCTTGGGGGATCAGGAAGGAATTTGTTCCCCTGCAGGAGCAAATTGGATCATGCTTTGCTGGATTTTTTGCCTTTCTCTGGATCAACTGTGAGTATAGGATTTATTTATTTTTTTTGGTTGAACTGGATGGACCTTTGTCTTTTTTCAGCCAGACTAACTATGTAACTATGTAAGTAATATCACAATGATACTTCTTGGCAGGGGCGGACTGACCATTTGGAAACTCGGGCACTGCCCGAGGGCCCGGGATCAGTAGGGGGCCCCATGAGATGTCCCTGGTACCTTTTTCATAGGCTTTTTGAGTTTGGGCAAGGACACAGGGGCCCCATGATCCCCTATTGCCCGGGGGCCCCATGAGTTGTCAGTCCGCCCCTGCTTCTTGGTATAGCATTACATTTTCTTGGGTCAGCTTGTGCTCACTGGAGAGAGGTCATTGTCCAAGAGGAGGCTGTAGACAGGTGCCACAGTAAGCTCAATTGCTGAATATGAGGGATAAACTGCTTAATCACAAAGTATCAAATTAAGTATTTGTTTTTGTACATTTAGGCTAGGTTCACATACAGTGAAATGAGTATATGCAGGTGTGGGAATGTGTGTAATTCCTGCACATTCCAGCACCCGCAGGCATCTTAAAATGCAGTAAGCTTTTCAGTGCGGGAAACCACATGGTGCAAAAACACCATGTGATTTCCCTGCAGCTGCAATTTTAAAAAGGTGCAGGGACCTTTTTCAAACGAATGGGCTGCTGTGCCTGTGCAAATGCGACCTGCATCAATTGCATAGGTATAAACCTAGCTTTAAATAGTTCTGGCTATATGAGAAGTGCAGTAACCAATAACAGCCAGAAATCATATTTTATCAGCAAAATCTGGTTTTCTGATTTGCACTGCGTACATTTTTGAACAAGTTGAACTCCAGAGAAAGTAAAAATCCTCCCTTGCAATGGAGCTGCCCCTGCATTGCAAGGGTTAAATGGTCATTTACTTCTAGTGGACCAGGAAAAGCACCATTACTTACCTAATCCTCGGCTCCTCCACACTGCAAGACCGGTCCCCGCAACATCTTATTCCCTATGCTCAGGGGTCAGATTCCCATGACATCATCAAGACAGATACATGGCCCTTAGCCCTGCATCGGGCAGGAGGACGCCAAGAAATAATCCATGGCATGGGGAAAGTGGAGGGTCAGGTAAAAAAAAACAACTGCTTTTTCTGTCCACTAAACCTAAAGCCCATGAAGGTGACAGTAACATTACTGTGGATCTACTTGCTTCTCCATTTTCCTTTTTTTTAGTATGTGTCGATTGATTATATTTACTCACACAAGTATATGGCTTTTCACATACAGTATATGGCTGTTATATACTCACCGCCAGGTGTACTCAGAGCATTGTGAATAAACTTTGCCCCTGGGCGTAGGAATACACTAATATCGAAATCTGGGCAATCTTCGATAGTGATGCCATAGTACTGGATATCAGGACCATAATCAATGTTATCCCCTGTAAATTCCCAGGAGGCATGGGCTGCGTTCAGGATGTGTGTGATGCCCATCTTCCTCAGTTGTTTTCTGTCTCTTGCAATATTTCTGCCATATATTGAAACAAAATGTGAGTGCATTGCATAATATGCCCACCATCTCTGAACTTGCATTGTGTAGTCTTTGAAGGACTATACAAGCCAAGATTTTACATTCAGTTAGCACTAGTAGAGCAGGTGTATGAAGGACAAAATACGCCTTCGTGGCTGTGAAATGCATTGGTGATATCTTTTCAGAAGGGACCGTAACGTCTCTTCTTCACAATACTAGCTTGTCAACATTGATACTTAATTAAAATGCATGATTAAAAATAAAAACAAAAAAAACAAAACAAAAGGAAATTGCTAGTGAACTTGTACCACCCTTCGCCTATAGCCAATACAAATGATTAAGCTAACAAGATGGGCTGCTTTGAAATGATATATTGTTATTAGGAATGTGGCGGACAAAACAAGAAACAAAATGGACTTTTATAATATGAATTAGCTGAGTATACCCGGTGTAATATTACTGTACTGTTTATTGTTTGGCATTATCACTTACACATCCCCCAGGAAAAGGTTTGGGAAGACTTGGTCCACGTGATGCGTACCCCCTTTGTAGCTGTCCAGAAGTGCTTCCAGCTCATAGACTGGAGGGGGGCCTCTGAATAGCTTCCTCATTTTAGGATCCCACGTAAAAGCAGCAGCAGTAGAAGAAGATTCTTGGATGTGACAGTTGTGCAGCATATATCAGTCTATCTCTATGAGGAGACACTTGATGCCATGTAACAGCTGACGGACTGTCACCAAATGCTGCTGGAAGGAGAGTGGAGGGGGGTTGGGAATGTTTAGACACAGAGTGATTGTCCCCACTGTAGAGTGTTCTGCCAGGGATCATAAGAATGCTGATTTAACTAGAGAAAAATAACTGAAACAAAGGTCCTTTACAGTAGTGTAGCCAGGACCAATAACATGCAAGAATGCAAGAAATATGAAGTGGGTACTTAGCTAATATTAGCAAATAGTGATTCTAGATGAAGGACAACCTAAAGTAAAAAAAAAAACAAAAATATTTACAAACTCTTAAAACCAGTACAGTTGTTGGGTAGGGGAGGGGGGTGTAATTACAGGTGCCTGAAACCCCCCTTCAAATAAGAACATAGTTTAAAATATTACTGTCTTTGTCTCTGATCACAACTGCCTATTCATATCTGTCAATCTCTCCTAACAAGCCTGCTACCTCCCCCTGGGTCATGAAGGCCTCCATACTTTTTATTTGTCATATTGTTGCCATGCTTCAGTTGAGGTTGACAGAATATTTGAACCTAAACAAAGGTTTAGTTTCCTCAGCGTCTATCCTATGGGAAGCTTACAAAGCTATAATGTAGGGCCACATTATCCAAATCATGTTCAAACAAAAGAGAAATATAGCTTCTGCTACTTTTAGTCTCCCATAATAGCTAATAGCCAAGGCTCTTGATCAAGTGTGCACCAAACTTAATCTATGCCTTACTTATCTTGCAGAATTTCACCTACGTTGGATGCAACAAAGATTTTATGCTAAAGGGAATAAACGTGATAAGATGTTAGCTAATATACTTAGAACTTTTTCTCCCAAGTATTCTCCCAAAATGCTTAAGGCTACATGCAATGTACATATGTGCTACCCCCTTTCAAGGCATGTGGAGTTTTAACACCGCCTTTTGGCCACCTATTTTGCCTCCTCTACCCTTACAAAATTGACTTTTTTGCAGCAATTATCCCTCCCCCAACTTTCCACTTCTCATAATGACCTAATAAAGGTGGATAAAAGTTCCTGAAATATTGCAAGCCATAAAGAACCAAACACTTAGTAAAAGCCCTGAGCAGGCTTTATGTCCTTTTCTATAAAAAGATGTCCACTATAGTAGCCCCCTCCCTCACATCCCCATGTGGCACAACTCTTCAGTCAAATAAAAAAGGATTTTGTTTCTCCTCTGCAATGCTTACTGCCAATGTAGTCATGGTACCTAAGCCAAACAAGGCTAGGTATACAAGCAGGTCATGCAAACCAAGAGAAGAAAGTAGATGTACACACCATATGACTACTACTCATGGAAAATTTATTGAAAATTACATAAATATAATACAAGCATCACAAACCCCCGAACCCTCCACCCGCTAAACCACCTGGGTCCCCCCAGAGAACACCACCACCCCCAACCTAAACTACCCCCCCACCAACTATGACCTACCCGCCAGGACAGACCCAACCTGACCCCCTCCCAAAGGGAAACACCAACCGAACTCCCCCAACCCTGGAGTTGCTGAGGAACCCACCCCCGTCTAAGTCCCCCTGGTGGTACTAAATATGAAATATGAAAAATATGAAGACCAATCCTGCTGTTCCTCAAGAGAGTCAATCTCAAGGTCTCAGATGGACCCTAATGCATAGGCACCATAAATGAAAGCCCACTACAGTCCATAGGGCATACAGCTCAGTCCTTAAAAATGTAAGGACAATCCAAAGGTATGAAGTGAGAAATGCATGTAAAATCGCTATATGGCTGTATGCGCTGTAACCCAGAGGTTCCAGATGGATGGATGGATAGGCTGCAGTGGACAACAGATGTATGCAAACGGTAGTGCGGGATGTGTTGTCAATAGATCACAAACACTGCTGATATAAATGATTCCAAGCTGGTGATGTGGCAGCAAAACTATAGCAGTCCGTAGGATGTCTGTGAAAGAACGAATATCCAGCAGTGCTATCCCTGATAGCAGCTAAACTAAGTGTGCATAGTTTAGCAAGTAAATATTTTTATTGCAACCGTTTGACCTTTTAGTAATAAATCTTTCCTTTTGAAAGTGTTGAAGTGTTTCTATAGCACTTTATTGCAATTTACGAATTCCTGCCTCTAAAGAGAACGCTACTGTGTTTGTTTAACTCTCTGCGTAATCAGCCTGCGGTGACCGTATTATGCAGATGATTATCTCAACCATTATAGTGTTTTAGCTGATATTGCCAAGTTTCCTCTTTTCTCTGTACAAAAAGGAGGTTGTGGCAGTGTGAAGGGTTAATTGCGTAATTAACCTGACCCAGTAACAATCGTTCAGGCTGCCGGTACATCGATTGTGGTCCAATTAGCTGGAAAATCGTTGTGCAGGGTGCAGCTGGGTGTGGCATTGTTACGCACGTGACATCGCGGTTTTAAATCGGCTAGTCCTTTGGTCACGGTCACGAGTTTGGTGAGAAGGGCTGGGGTCTGACGCCACGATCGTGACAAGCAGGTCATGCCAGCGGATGATGCAAGGTCACCTGTGGTGAGAGGTCTAAGTACTAACCAGTATTCACCAGATCTCCAGATGGTGGAGATGAGCTTTGCTGCATGTTAGTACCAGATCGCAGTCCTCAGGGTCACTCTACCAGGAGTTCAGCAAGCTAGTGTCCAGTAGCAGGTATAGCAGGTTGGGATCAAGCAGAAGTGTAATTGAGAAACAAGACGGTTGGTTGGTAACAAGTGTTAGCAAAAATACAGATGACAGCAGGAGTGACAAGGGCAAGATATTCTCTGGAGAGAGCACAATTATCTGACAAACAGAAAGTGCAGAGACATGGCTTAAATCAGGAAGTTCATGGTAGGAGCAAAGAGCTCAAGGTTCATGAGAAACAAGAGACAAGGCAAGATTGTCCTAAGAGATGAGATAGATTGCTGTCAAGTATCTCAGGTGGCTTGGCAAGAAGAGTTACTGCCAGACACAGAATAGGTCCTGGGATCAGATCCAGGCCTTGACAGTTGGTCTATCTACTAGCCAATATCATTGCTCAATACAGACATTGATACTTACTAAAATCCTAGGCCGTAGACTTTATTCCTTTCTTACCCATTCTATTAGGAAATATCAATTGGGATGCATCCCTAAGCAACAGGTAAGGGTCAGCAGTCACATGATATTATATTTTAATCATATGAGATGTTAATTTTGTTGGACATTTCCAATACGTTTGTTACATCATCCTGGTCATATCTTGAAGCAGTACTTGGACACTTGGGCTTTGGTCTCCAATGAAGGACATGGACTACTGCACTCAATAGCACCCCTCAAGCCAAATTCAAGTATTATGGATCTTCCCTATCTGGGAAAAAACTCAACAAGGTTGTCTGCTTTAACCCATACTATTCATTTTGGTGCTTGAACCACTAACAGGAGCAATATGCATACATACTGATTTTAAAGATATTGAAACTGGCAGGGTTAATCACAAGTTAACCTCTTGGTGCCGGCACCTCCCGGCCCTTTAAGAGTTTCAGAAGCCAGGAGGCAGGGCGGGCGTTTAGGGTAATGTGACCAGGTTGGATAGTACCTGAGTATACCTTGACAATGGTATCATAAGATAGGCGTGTCTCTTGTAAAAAAAAAAAACACATCTATAGAATGTTGGTGTACTTCCCTCAGTATCTTATGTCTTTTGGTCGGAGAATTTAAACCATTCACATTATAAGTCATAACATTAATCAAATTTATGTCTATTTACTATTTTCTCTTCACCTCTACATTTCCATTTACAGGTAGGAAGACAAACGCTATTCAAATCATGGGCAGCAACCTTACCCAAACATTTTAGACTCTGTGTCCCAGTCCCATGTCAATCCGGTCCATGAGGTGCTGCTGGAGGAGGGGTAGGGAGGTTGTCAGCGGGTCCGGTGTCTTCATTTCCCTGGATTGCAATGTGTGTGCGAAATGACATGCCGCCCCTGTCATCTTGCCACACCCCCAGAATCATTCAACAGCCTATGGCAGCTTGTCCCTCCCTCTGCAAGCTCCGCCTCCTTGTCGATGATTGGCCGCCGGAACTGTAGCTCAGGAAAGGCACACAAGCGGCCAATCACCGGCGAGGAGGCGGAGCTTGGAGAGGAGGAGCCGAGCAGCAGTGCGAATATCAAAGAAGTGAGGGAGCAAGCGCAAGTGAAGAGGAGAGCGGAAGGAAGACAGCTGACCGGTAAGTGTCTGTGCCGTGCAGATGGTGCTGCTGCAGCTGCAGCCAGGTATGCTGGCTGTAGATGGGAGAGGGAGGGGAGCAAGCCCAGGCTGGAGCAGGGGTCAGCAAGGTAAGTATCATTGGTGTCAGTGGGAGGAATAGTGCCCCATCATTGGTGTCACTGATACCAATGACAGGGCACTATTCCTCCCACTAACATCAATGATAGGGCACTATTTCCCCCCCACTGACACCAACGATGGGGCACTATTCCTCACCCACTGACAACAACGATGGGGCACTATTCCTCCCCCCACTGACACCAACGATGGGGCACTATTCCTCCCCCCACTGACACCAATGATGGGACACTATTCCGCCCCCCCACTGACATCAATGATGGGGCACTACCCCCCCCCCCCCACTGACACCAATGATGGGGCACTATTTCTTCCCTCCACTGACACCAATGATCCAATGATGGGGCACTATCCCCTCCCCCCCCCACTGACACCAATGATGGGGCACTATTTCTTCCCTCCACTGACACCAATGATCCAATGATGGGGCACTATCCCCCCCCCCACACACACACACTGACATTTTAGTTTTACATATAAAAACACTTCTCTAGGCTTTAATGCAAATTAGACACCAACCGCTGGGGCCCTGTACACAAAGGGTACCCATCAATGGTAGAAGTGCCTTTGGGTCACGAGACTGCATCTTTATCTATACAGTAATGTATCACTTATGGCAAGCAAGCAAATAACCATAGACACATATA